GGGTTTCACCATGTTGACCAGGATGGTCTCGATCTCTTGACCTCGTGATCCACCCGCCTCAGCCTCCCAAAGTGCTGGGATTACAGGCGTGAGCCACCGCGCCCGGCCCCTTTTTCTTTTTTTTAAATGGAGTCTCACTCTATCGCCCAGGCTGGAGTGCAGTGGTGTGATCTCGGCTCATTGCAACCTCCACCTCCCAGGCTCAAGTGATTCTCCTGCCTCAGCCTCCCAAGTAGCTGGGGTTACATGTGCATGCCATCACGCCTGGCCAATTATTCTTAGTAGAGACGGGGTTTCACCATGTTGGCCAGGCTAGTCTTAAACTCCTGACCTCAAGTAATTTGCCCACCTCGGCCTCCCAAAGTGCTGGGATTATAGGTGTGAGCCACTGCACCCAATCATTTCATTTTTCATTTCTCTGGAAGAAGCCCCCAACCTAGGGTTCAGGTTAAATGGCAACTGGCCCCCAGCTTCATTGACTAGGAGACAGTCGGGCATGGTGTAGACTTTGGTGAGCTGGAAACCCCAGGTTCTACCTTACAGCCTGTGAGTCACCAGACCTTACAATTCCAGAGAAGTCCTTACAATTCCAGGGAAGACTTTGCAATTCCAGAGAAATACGGACTGCCATGTGGAACATCCCTGTTTTTCAATTTGGCAGCCAAGTCAAAGTGGAGTCTGGCTCTGTTGCCAGGCTGGAGTGCAGTGGCGTGATCTCGGCTCACTGCAACTTCCACCTCCCAGGTTCAAGTAATTCTCCTGCCTCAGCCTCCCAAGTAGCTGGGACTACAGGGGTGCACCACCACGCCTGGCTAATGTTTTATATTTTTAGTAGAGATGGGTTTTCACCATGTTTGCCAGGATGGTCTCGATCTCTTGACCTCATGATCCGCCAGCCTCGGCCTCCCAAAGTGCTGGGATTACAGGTGTGAGCCACCGCGCCTGGCCAAGAACATTAAACATCATATAAAGCCGGCTGAGCGCAGTGGCTCACGCCTGTAATCCCAGCACTTTGGGAGGCCGAGACAGGCAGATCATGAGATCAAGAGTTAGAGACTATCCTGTCCAACATGGTGAAACCCCGTCCCTACTAAAAATACAAAATTTAGTCGAGCGTATTGGCGTGCGCCTGTAGTCCCAGCTACTCAGGAGCCTGAGGCAGGAGAATCGCTTGAACCCGGAAGGCAGAGGTTGCAGTGAGCTGAGATTGCGCCACTGCACTCCAGCCTGGCGACAGAGAGAGACTCTGTCTCAAAAAGAAAAAAGAAAATCATGTAAAGCCATGCAAATATAACTGCAAGCCTCTAGGGGCAGTGGCTCATGCCTGTAATCCCAGCACATTAGACGCCTGAGACAGGCGAGCCAAGAGATCAGGATCATCCTGGCCAACATGGTGAAACCCGTCTCTACTAAAAATACAAAAAGAATTAGCTGGGCATGGTGGTGTGGGCCTGTAGTCCCACCTACTCAGGAGGCTGAGGCAGGAGAATCGCTTGAACCCAGGAGGCAGAGGTTGCAGTGAGCCAAGATTGTGCCACTGCACTCCAGCTTGGTGACAGAGCAAGACCCCATCTCAAAAAATAATAATTATACACACACACACACACACACACACACACACACATATATGCTCTAGCCATGTTTCTCTCTTCTCTGGGTCACCAAGTTTTACTATCATGATGTTCCAGCTCAGATGTTGCCTCCTCCAGGAAGCCCTCCCTTGCCTCCAAGCTGAGTCAGGAGTTCCCTCTGCACTCCCCCACCCAGCGCTGCCCACTCTGGGTTTTCACCATCTGGGGACAGGCCTTTCGCTCCCCCTGGACTCTCAGCCCCAAGAGGGCAGGGCAGGTCCAGGGCTGTCTTCGTCACAGCTAGGTCCCTAGCATTGTCCGACACAGGGCCGGTCAGAGAGTAGGTACTCAGGGAGCGTTTAGAAGAATAAATGAATGAACACATGAGCAGAGAAAAAAGTGCGCTGCTTTAGGACAGAAGTGAGCGTTCAGTAGAGGGGAACCAGGTGTGAAAAAAGGAGTGGTTCAGGAGTGAGAAGTGTGGGATGGGGACCGGGACCCTGAGAATGTCCAACCCACTGGGGAGGAGAGAAAAGAGGGCAGCAGAGGGGTTCAGGAAGCACTGAAGGACCCCATCGACGCCCTGTTACCTCCTAGCTTTGTGACTTTGAATAAGGGACTTCCTTTGGCTCCGTTTCCTCATGGGTATCATAACAAGTAATCTGCCGCTTTCTGGGGCTGTCGGGACCATTAAGTTCAGGATCGATCGTGGAGGAGACAGCACGGAATATGCATCTCCTCCGAGGCTTTATTGGAGTCGTACTCCCTCCACATCCACCCCTACCGCCAACACGCACACTCAGAAGGAATGAGAACGGACACAGCTTCCCCCACGGTGGCCCCAAGCTCTGTGTGCCTCAGTTTCCCCGAAAACACAGGCACCACCACAGTGACCAAGTTTATTAGATCCATACTTTGGCAGGGGAGGGTAAGCTGTCTGGAGGGCTCAGAGCAAAACACAAAAGAGGCGCTTGTCGCGAAAGGGGTTTTCTGCCGCAGGTACTGGCGTCAGCAGCGGGTCGTCTTTTGCGTGCGTCTCGCAGAAAGCCAGGAGTTCCGCCGCTGCCTGCGACACCTGTGAGCACCCGGGTGGAGATGTCAACGCCCCGCCCGGCTCCCCGGGGCCGCCCCCTTAGGCCCGCCCCTTGCCCTGGCACCCTTGCCCAGCCCCTTTGCAAGAGGCATCCTTGCACTGTGGCTCCGGGCCGACCCAACCCCGAGCAGACTCCAGGCCCAGAACCCCCGCCCTATCCCCCACCCCGACTGGGCACCTTCATGCGGTCGATGTTCACCTCCAGCTTCAGCTGTTCCACCGTCTTGCGGGCCTCGGCAATCTTGGCCATGTTGTTGGACATGGCTGCAGCAGGGAAGGGGTTAAAAGCCGCGCGGGAGTGGGGGCTGTGGGGGCAGGTTAGGATACGTCTGGGTCCCGAGGTGGGGACACGGGGGTGGGTCCTGGTAACAGGTGCGATGGTGGACGGGCGGGTGAATGGGAAGGCCAGAGGCAGGTGGAGGGAGGGACAGATGAGGACAGGAACAAGAGGAGCGGAGGAGGGGCGCACAGATGGCGGCACCTAAGGCAGGTGGGGTGAGGGAGGGAAGGAGGGGTGCACAGATGGCGGCACCTAAGGCAGGTGGGGTGAGGGAGGGAAGGAGGGGCGCACAGATGGGAGGCCGAGACAGATGCACAGGCCACAGGTGCTGGTTCAGCATCCAGGTGTCCTCACCCCCTGGGGGCAGAGTGGGAGCCAGGAGGGGGCCCCTCCCCAGGCCAATTAGCGGTGGCTCCAGGGAGAACCGGGAATTAAGATCACGGCAGGAGGGGCACAGAGGGGGCCTCATTAGGGCCTTGGCAGCAGCTGCCCCCTCCGCCCCCCTCAGGGAGCCCCCCCACCCAGCCCTGGCCACCTCAAAGGCTCCTCTGCTCATTAGCAGCCAGGGGAGAGGGCTGGGGGAGCCCAACCGTGGCACCCGAGGAGAGGCCGATTGGATGGACAGAGGGACATGGGGGGGGGGCGCAGAGGCAGGGTCAAAGTGATGAGGGAGAGACTGAGGCATGGGAGAATGAAGGACGAGTGATACTCAGAGGGAGAGGCTGGGGGATGGATGAGGTGATGGGAGAAAATAGAAGGACAAATGGAGGGGGGAGCAAGGAACAGGGGGGTACAAGGCAACCGGCACCGAGGGGACAGAGGGACAGAGGGGACAGAGCAGGGGAGATGGAGGGAGGGCGTGGGGTGGGAGAGGATGGGGAGATGGAGGCAGGGGGTGTGGGGTGGGAGAGGATGGGGAGATGGAGGCAGGGGGGGGGGGGTGGGAGAGGATGGGGAGATGGAGGCAGGGGGTGTGGGGTGGGAGAGGATGGGGAGATGGAGGCAGGGTGTGTGGGGTGGGAGAGGATGGGGAGATGGAGGCAGGGGGTGTGGGGTGGGAGAGGATGGAGAGATGGAGGCAGGGTGTGTGGGGTGGGAGAGGATGGGGAGATGGAGAGAGAAGGGGAGATGGAGGAAGTAGGGATGGAAGAAGGAGCAGAGAGATACCAAGGGGATAAAGGGACAGAGACAAGGAGATAGAGGGACAGAGGACAGAAGGGACAAGACAGAGAAGGAGATGGAGGACTGGGGAGAGATGGATCCAGGACCTGGGAGAGAGGAACAAAGCAAGAGGCAGGCTGATGGAGATGCAGAAGAATAAGGCCATTCATTCACTCACTCATTCATTCATTCATTCCCAGGTGAAAGACGGTGGGCATGGAGCAGGCAAAGGGACCAGCTGTGGGGCCAGGACCGGAGCTTCCTACCTGTTGCTGAACGGGGCCAGCTGGCTGCGGTGACCGAGGCTGAGAAGCAGCATCTGGGTCCCTCCAGCCTGTCCCGCCCCCTCCCCTGGGGTGCAGCCTGTAAGGACCCGCCTCCTCCCGCAGCCACCGTCCCCACTGCCACCGCTGCGCGCCTTGGGGCTGCCTCTCTGGGCCTACTCTCCTGTCTGGCAGTCCTATCTTTGTCCCTCTCCCTGTGCCTCTGCTGCTGCTGTCCTCTGTGACTCTGTGCCTCTCTCACACTCACCAGAAAAGACGGGCCCTGGGCCTCGCTGCATTTGATCCACAGTCACACAGACCTCCCCAGCATGTCCCACAGAGCCTCTCACTCAGCCACACTCACCACCTCAGTGTCACCCCACCAGCCTCCTGCTCACTGTCCCTCACACAGACACACACTATCTTGTTCTGTCACACGGTAGCACCACCCAGTTTCACAAATCACCTTGCTCAACACCACCTCACGCGGTCGCCCCAAATGCCACACACAGCCACTACCAATGGCGACCCCAGGGCTGCACAGTCAGATAAACCATCTCAGAACATCAAACGTGCCAGCAGTTTGTCACAGTGTCACATATAATATTTCCAAATGTCACACACATTTGCATGTCCCCCCTTTTTTTTGAGATGGAGTCTCGCTCTGTCGCCCAGGCTGGAGTGGCAGGATCTCGGCTCACTGCAACTTCCACCTCCCGAGTTCAAACGATTCTCCTGCCTCAGCCTCCTGAGTAGCTGGAACTACAGGCACACGCCACCACACCTGGCTAATTTTTGTATTTTTAGTAGAGACTAAAAATAGGGTTTCACTATGTTGACCAGGCTGGTCTCGAACTCCTGACCTCAGGTGATCCACCTGCCTCTGCCTCCCAACATGCTGGGATTACAGGCATGAGCCACTGCGCCCGGCCCTGTATGCCATTTAAACTTCTCCCTCAGTCTCACACCCTGTCCCAGTCTCACACTGTCTGTGTCTCATGGTGGCGTGTAATTACCCATGCGACCTGTCAAGTACACACTATTTTATAGTATTTCATAGTAACACACAGCCGCCTGTTGAGTGACACCCACGGAAGGTCACATCCTCACAGTCTCCTGATGTCACTCGCATCTGACACATTCCCTCCACACACAGTCTGTCCCTGTCACACATGCATGCGCCCCATCTCCTGGTGTCATACCTGGCTACCCACGATGGCTCAGTATCTCGCAGAGTCCCACACAATCTCGCAGCGTTTCACACACTGACTCCCGCCTGTCCATAATTTCTTACCTTCTACACACATGGCCTCCCTCACACTCTTGATTCTGAATGGACTGCACAGCTGCACACACTTACACTCGCTGTCACAACACTGCCATCTCTCACGAGCTCAGTGTCACACGTAGTCACACAGCTTTGGGTTTTGTTGTTGTTTTTCAAGACAGGTTCTCTCTCTGTTACCCAGGGTGGAGTGCAGTGGTGCGATCATAGCTCACTGCAGCCTCCACCTCCCAGGCTCAAGCAATCCTCCCACCTGAGCTGCCCAGCAGCTGGGACCACAGACGTGCGTAACCACACCTGGCTCATTTCTTTTAATTTTATTTTGGAAGAGATGAAGGTCTCCCTATGTTGCCCAGGCTGGTCTCAAACTCCTGGCCTCAATGGATCCTCCTGCCTCAGCCTCCCAAAGTGCTGGGATTACAGCACTGTGCCCAAATCACACACTTTTTCACAAGCCTTACGAAGTGTGGCCAACACAAACTGTCTGACACACTCAGTCTGTCCCAGGCCTCCTGTGAGCCTCTCATGACATTGCCCACACCACCTCTTAGTATACACTGGTCATCAGTCTTGCTCTCTCACACAGTCTGCTTGTGTGACACACAGCACCGTATGCTCACCATCACACACACTGCCCCCTCACACATACTGATGTCTCACTCCCACAGATGGTCTCTCAGTGTCACATACAGAGCCCCAAAGAGTGTCTCTCCCACACCCTATCACACACAACCTCTCATCCGCACACACAGTCACCCACCATCTCTCAGCATCACCAATCATCTCACAGTGTCACAGCCAGGGACGTGTCATCTTTGACATACGCAGTCCCACTCAGCCTCTCCTTATTGCACATAATCTCACAATATCAGTCACACACAGACTCCCAACATCACACACCATCTCACCAGTACGCCATCATGGCAGTACACACTGAGGGTGTCCTGATCCTGGCATTGCACACCATCTCACAGTAGTGCACACTCACACACTCTCCAGATGTCACACGCCATCTCCCGGTGTCACACATCATCTCACGTCAGGACACACACAGTCTCCCGGTGTCACACGCCACTTCCCGGTGTCACCACGAACACCAGCGTCCCTCGCTCCCCAGCACTCCCCTTCTGGCGCTCACACGCAGCCCCTGCCGGCCACACGAGGGCGCGCGCAGCATGCCCAGCCGCCCACCGGCCCCGCGAGGTCTCTGGAGGAGGTGGCCACAGGGAGGAGGGCCCGGCAGGAGATGAAGGGGAGACTCGGGACCAGAGGAGGCACGGGAGGGAGTCAGGGACTGGAGGGAGAGGACGGAAAATGGACGCGGAGAAATTCACAGACGTGGGAGAGCGATGCAGAGAGAGTCAGAGGGACGCCGGGAGCCATAGGGACAGTACACAGTATAGGGACAGATTTAGAGAGGGACAGAGCTAGGGACCCAGAGAGACAGAGAAGGGGAGGGCGCTGCAGAGACAGGGACACGAGAGGCAGAGACAGACAGGACACAGAGAGACGCGGATAGGAGAGAGACAGCCAAGCCGAAATGCAGAGTCAGACACAGGCACGAAGACACAGACACACGGAGACGGAGGCAGAGGCGGCCAGAGAGACAAAGAGACGCACAGAGGGTGCCTTCCAGCGGGGACCCGACGGCGGAGGCGGGGTCGGCTGAGGCACGACCGAACGGGCGCGGTTCGGGGGCGGGGATTTAAGGGGCGTGTCCCTGGGTGTAGGTGGGGCGTGTCCTGGTGGGGGCGTGTTCCGATGGGCGGGGCTTGGAGTTCTTTCTGGACCTGGAGAAGGCGGGAGCGCTGGGAAGACGTGGGGGTGGGGGAGGAGCGCCTCTACCGCAGTCAGCCCACCTTAATTCGGTTTTCACCGAAATTTGGGAAGGGAAATGGGCGGGGAGGGGACCCTGACCCGAGTCCCTGGTAGAGATCTGTGTCTCGGATCCTGGCTCCCCTCCCCCGTCCCCTTGCGGGCGCAACGGGGCCAAATAGAGGAGGGAAACCGAGCCCACATCTGGAAAGCATCAGGCGCGCCGGACGTGCCAGGGCCCCAGGCCGGGCTGCGGAAGAGGGGAGGGGAGCCAAAGAGCTCCCCGCCCCCCATCGGGGTCCGCCGGCGCCGAGGAGGGGCCTGGGCGTGCGCCGAGCCTCCGCGCCTGGCGCAGCTGGTTTCTATCAGCAGTCTGGCCTGGGCAGACCCCGAGGAGGAAACCCAGCTCAGAGCGGGGGAAGACAGAGTAACGACCCAATCTTCCCTCCCGCTTCACCGCAGCCAGAAGCTGGGGGAAGGGGCAGACGGACAGACGGACACTGCCTGCTGAGAGCGCAGCCTCTGTTCCTCTCCTGAGCAGCAGACCGCAACAGATGACCTCAGTTCCTGCCCTGTGCCCCCAGCCTCATTACAACCTAGCGCTTGACGGTATTATGGTCCCCATTTTTTGGAGGAGGAAACTGAGGCCCTGGATTCGGATTCCGTTCTGACTTTAATTATTCAAGAAATCACCAAAAAAGTAATTCCAGGTAAGAGTGAATTCCAGGATCAAATACCCAATCGCCTGGGTGTTTAGTGGGTCTCTCAAACTCAACGCATCCAACACTGAGCTGATTCCATAGACCAAATTCGCTCTTACTTCAGGCTTACCCTTCTCAAGTGACGGTAAATCTGAGTTTTTGTTGTTTTGAAACAGGGTCTTGCCTGTCGGGACTGAACTGCAGTGGTGCAATCATAGTTCACTGCAGCCTGGAACTCCTGGGCTCAAGTGATTCTCCTGCCTCAGCCTCCCCAGTAACTGGGATTATAAGCATGCACAACCACAAACAGCTAACGTGTTTTTTTTTTTTTT